CACTTTGGTTCCAGCAAGAAATTAAAAAGCTGGGTTTGGAAGTTGCTGCAGAGATTATGGAGAGGCAAAAAACTGTCTGGCACCGTGTCCAGAGCACATCCACGTGAATCACTCCAGAATTATGAGACACTGCTCTGTTCCTGCAGTGCATCCCAGTTACAATGAGCAGAGTGGGTGGCACAGAAAGGGCCCAGCAGGGCTGGGAATGGAACCCCCATGTTCAGGTTTGTCCCACTGGGAGGGCCTTTCCCAGGAAAGTCCACAGCATCGACCAGGATTGAGAAACTTTGTGCTCAAAGGTCAGCCCTTCAAAGCACACCCAAATCTGCATATTATCTCCAGTGTCCTGCCCCTGCAGCAGGCAAAGGGCAGGGATTTCAGCTGGTTTGCCTCAAGCAGACCCAGGAATGCTCCAGGATTTCTGGCCCCAGCCTGCTGATTGACAGCACCTATCCCTGAATCCTCTTAAAAACCAGCACCTGAACCAAAAAAAAAAAATCCCGAGGCAGGGATAACCCTACACAAACCATTCTCCTTAAAGGTTTTCCTAGGCAGGAATTCATTGACCTTCCCAAGGTAACACACTCCTTTCCTTAGCCTTAAGCTTCCAAAATGCCTTCAACATTTGACCTTTTAATTCTTGCCCTGTCCCCAACAGGCCAGAGAATGATGACACCTTGTTCCCTGCAGCCTCTCAGTGCTTTCCCATCCCTTGGCTCAGGTCATTGCCTCCTCACTGGCCCCACCTGTCCCTCCTCAAGAATCCCAGACTGGTTTGGGTTGGAAGGGATGGTAAAGTTCATCTTATTCCATCCACTGCCATGGGCAGGGACACCTTCCACTAGCCCAGGTTGCTCCAAGCCCCGTCCAGCCTGGCCTTGGACACTTCCAGGGATGGGGCAGCCACAGCCTCTCTGGGCAACCTGTGCCAGGGTCTCCCCACCTTCACAGGGAGAAACTCCTTCCCTCCAGAATGACCTCAGGCCATTCCTGCTGGTGTCTTCCCAACCACACTGGATCCTCTCTGAGGGTGGTGCCCCAGGTCAGGACTGAAGTTCCTGGTGAGACTTTATTTCCTGGGTTTCGTTTACACAGCCTGACTTTAAAATCTAGAAATGATGATTTTCTGGATAACTGGATGATGCTGCCACCACTCTTTGTCCTCTGCTCATCAGATCTGCTGCAGGGTGTTACTCTGCATCCTGTGCTATGAATATATACCATGTGCATATTACACTTTTCAGGACTTCTACCTTCTTCACACTTTCTACTGATATTTATGTTTATTCCTAAAATATGTTCCAGCTCATCATTTGAAACATTAATCCATACATTGGCTAACTCAGAACCATGACAGGGTGGGCAGGACCCCCTACAGTGCATTCCTGGATCCCGATGAGCTTGGCCTTGGCATCACACACATGGAGAGCAGCTCTCTAGCCCAATCCTTAGCCCAAACTTTGCCTTGACAAAGAGAAGCCTTTAGGCTCCATCCTGCTGCCCTGCCAGCCCAGCCAGAGCTGAGGTGTCTGGTTATGCAGAGTCATTGTCCCAGAGATTACAATTAAATCCCTGCAGGATGAATTTCAACTCTGCCTGCTGGATTTGCAGAGATTAACTGCAAAGCACCTTAGCTCTGTCTCTGAGCTGGAGTTTCATTAGTGTAGAGTTGAAAATTCCAAAGAGGCACTGAAACTGGACAACCTGACACTGCCTTAATCACCTTCCACTGTAAACTGGCATAAGCCAATTAACTTTACAGGCAGAAAGAGGCTAAGCTGGTGTAACAGCAGCCTGCAACCTGTAAGAGCTGCTGCAGCATTGGCTGCCTCCTAAAATCCACCATCGTCTGCAGCCAGGAAATATCTGCAGTTGGTATTTATTTCCTTACTTCACATATCACACCTGAGTTCCCCCTTCTGCCTCTGAGAAAAACAGGAAAGTTAGAAAGATCAGAAACTGAGGCTTTTCTTACCAGCCTGTAGGATCACTGCATCTAGTTCTGGTGCACAGGGATTGCTTTTTGGAATAACTTTCTGTATGATCACTTTATTTTGATATTTTTAACACCAGGAGCTTTAACTTGAAGGAAAGATCTCAATGGGAACTGGTCTGGAGGCTGTGGCAGAACAGCACAAAGGGAGCTCCAAAAGTAGAGCAGTGGCAAATAAAGAGGGTTTAAACACTTGGTTTCCCTGGATAACTGAGTGGGGAAAAAGTTAAATAACAGCCAAGCCAGGAAATCAAACTTCCTAGGGTAGAGAGCAGCATTTCTAATAAAATCCCCATGTCCTGCAGTTGTAAAACAGAGCTGGGCAGTATTTAGCATGCAAAGCACTGCCTGGCATTCAAAACACCTTCCAGCTACTTTGCAGCACTTGGAAAACTGTTTAGTTAAGAAGGAACCAAGGGCACAGTAAATTTGTGGAATAGCAGGTGACAGTGTCAGTGAATCAGCCTGGTGCTGGTTATATGATCAGGTCTGGATTTACAGCTTCAGTTCTGTAATTTTTGGTTGGTTTTGAAATAAAGCTGTTGCACTGCCATCATTCTACTGACACGTGATGTCCAATAGGAGTTTTCAAGCTTTTTTTCATGTAATTAAAGAGTCAGACACACTATGTGGGAATAACATCCAGGAAACCTGTCACAGGGACCAAAACAAAGCAGGGAGGCAACGCTGGATGCCAAGTGAGGACAGCAAACCCAACAATCTCTGATGCAGTTTGCTTATATAAATGCAAACTTAAAAAGAAGATAAATGCTCCTTAATCTCACAACTCCAAACTGAGTTGCTGCCAGTCTAAAAAAAATAACCCCAGAGTTACATATTAACCATCCCAGGTGGAGACAGAACTAAAACTCACTCTAGCATCCTTTCTTTTTACTTGTAAAACTAACAATCATCAGCGGTGGCCCTCAGGTCTCTCCTGTGTTTCTAGAGGACCATTCAGCCAGATCTTAACACCACATGGTTTTAAAGTATTTATCCAATCACCTCTTAATCCCTAGGACCAGAAATGCAGTTTTCCAGCACTTGTTTTCTCTATATTTCTCACACTGAGTCTTTCCCTGAGTCCTGGCTGCTGGGATCAGGAGATCCCCGAGAGCCTCAGCACTCAGGCAAAACCACAGGCTCCAGGAATGAGTCTCCACGTGCTGTTCCCTGTTCTGCTGGACACTTTCTTGCCAGTTAACAGCACTTGTTCACCCTTCTCTCTGAAAGGCTGGCAACTTCCAGTTACCTCACATTTACTATGAAGAAACAGGATTTTCACAGACTCTTCCTTAACTACACTGTGGTAACCACTAGGAACTAATATTTGCAATTACAGGGGAAAACCTCGAAGCAAGCATCCCTTAACCATTCCAAAACAGGAAGGTGAGCACAAAAAAGATATATTACAATTTTATTAAAAACTACTATCTTGCATTTGCTAAAGAAACCCTCTGGTTTTAGTCACCTCATTTCTTGAAACTGGATGGTTTTGTCCTTGTTAAGTTTGGCAACACTTGCACTGCCTTACATGGAATGTAGCCAAAAACTGTACCTCAGGTTTTCAGTGGCTCTGTACTCTGCAGATCACCCCCCTGAACCTCCTCTGGTTACTTATTCAGCCTTTACCTGCTGTCCCTTTGTGAACCCACATATTCTTCCACATGTTTTTTCTCCACCTCCCATTTTCCCTGCCTTCTGAGCAAAGTCTCTCCCAGCACTCTGGATTCACGTGGACAAAACGCTCCAAGGCAAAGTGCTGCTGGCAAGGGCACCCCTTGGGACCCACTGCAGCTCTGGCAGCGAGCTCAACCCTGCACGTACGTGAGTGTCTGCACATCCTCCCAAAACACCTCCTCACTCCCCAGCATGGATCTACCTCCAGGCCTTTCCCTACGCCTGGGATGGAGCTGAGGTGCAGATGATGGAGAACTCGGTGCTTGGAAAGCTGCCACATCCCACCAGGGCCTGGCTGCACATCCAGAAACCTGCACAAACACTTCATCCCAGAGAATAAGTTTCCCATTCTGCTTATTCACAGTGATCCCTAGGGATCCTGTCTGTGTGTGCAATCGGGCATGGAAGCTGCATGTTCCAACTCTTAGAACAAATAAATAAACCAGTGTCTGCTGCTTTTCCGTCAGGGAAGGCTGCACTATCCATCACTTCCAGAGGTGCACAGAGCAAGGCTGGTGCTGCTCAGGGATGCTGGAATAGGGAACCACACATCACAAAAAAGCAAATTTCTACATGGCTTAAACCCCCCAAAAAAACCAGCTATTTGTTTTTTGTGCCCTAAGAAGGTAGGGACCTCACATTGCTAATTCTTCTCCTAAGTAGTCAGATCTTTAAAGTCATTGAGACACTGAGAAGCTGAAATAGGGAACTCTAAGATTTTACCCTATGTCCAGCCCAGACCACCAAATATCCTCAGCCCACTCCCTCTTTCATGGTCCACGAGGAAGAACATTTGCTGCCGATGTTGGTATCCCAGGAGAAGGGGATATTTTTCATTTGGAAAACACAAAACTTAGGGAAGAGCCTCCCTTTACAAACTCGGCTCCGGTGCAGCTCTTCCTACCAACATCCCGTTCCCTGCTGGGCTTCCCTCGGGCTGCCCAAGTGACAGGACCAAGATGAAGCAACAGGGATGAATCTCGAGCAGGGAGACAAATTCTGGTGCCGCGGAAGGGAACGCTGCTCCCCTCCCAAACCTCACCACCCGCACGCTGTGCCCTGGTTTGTGTTTCAGCTGGAAAGCCCCCCGATGCCCGAAGGAAGAGGGAATACGAGCAAAGTTGTGTTTGCCTCCTCCCTGGCCGATGTCCGCTGGCTCCCGCACGAACCGTGGCGGGGAAAGGCTGCTGGGGGGATTCTCCTGCCTGGACCGCGAGCTGCGCCCACGGCAGCCTCGTCAGCTCATCTGTCACTCACCGAGTTACTTCTACGCCGCGGACACGCAAAGCGCCAGCGATTTCCGGGATCCCGGATCCCGGATCCTTACCCCGTTGGCGGCGGCGATGCGGACGATGAGCTGGATGGCGTCCTTCATGTAGAAGCGGCCGTCGCCCCCCACCACGAGCGTGGCTTCCTGGCGCTCTGCGGGCGGCACCGTGGCCAGGATGCTCTGGATGAAGTTCTCGGTGTAGTGGACATTGCTCTGGAACACCGTGACCCGCTTGCGCAGCCCGCTGGTGCCCGGCTTCTGGTCGCCATAGGGCTTGGTCTTCACGGTCTCGATCCGCACCATGGCCGGCGCCGGGAGAGTTCCGGGAGCCGGGGGGGACCGGGCCGGACCGGCCCCGCCGCCAGCACCGCCCCGAGACCGCCCCTTAAAGGCACCGCCCGCGCTGCCGCCTGGGCACCCAGCGCAGAGACACAGCATCCCTGCCCTGCCCTGCCCTGCCCTGCCCTGCCCGCAGAGGGGGCAGGTGCCGCACCGCCGCGCTCGGGGTGTGCAGCGAGGAGCACTGAGCTCCCCTGTCCTGCCACAGCACTGAGCACCTCCGCGGGTGGGTGCTCTGCTTCGGACAGGGGTCATGGAATCGTGGAATGGTTTAGTTTGGAAAAGATCTCTCAGGTGAGGGAGTTCAACTGTTCCCCCAGCACTGCCAAGGCCACCACTAACCCATGTCCCAAGTGCCACATCCATAGGGCTCTTAAATCCCTCCAGGGATGGGCACTCCATCACTGCCATGGGCAGCCCCTTCCAAAGCTTGTCCACCCTTTCCATGAAGAGATCCTTCCTGATGTCCCACCTAAACCTCCCCTGGCACAGCTTGAGGCCATTTCATCTCATCCTATTCCTTGTTCCCTGGGAGCAGAGCCCAACCCTCACCTGGTTCCACCCTCCTGTCAGGGAGTTGCAGAGAGCCAGAAGGTCCCCCCTGAGCCTCCTTTTCTCCAGGCTGAGCCCCCCCCAGCTGCCTCAGCTGTTCCTGGTGCTCCAGACCCTCTGTGTCCCCACAGCCATCAGCAGGATGTCACCACAAGCCCTACAGTCAGGCCCTGGCCTCAGCTGACCATCCCACACAAGCAGGAGCCCTTCAATACCCTCAGAAGGGTGGTCAGGGAAGGTCAGTGTTGGCAAACCCATGAAGAACCTGAATTTTGTTTTCCTAGTGCCAGTTCTCAAAAGAAAGGTAATTACAGGTGTTACAGACACCTTTTCTCCCAAATGTCTCCCCTTGAAGAAAATAAGCTGGTACCTGTGTTCAGCCTTAAAAAGAGAAGCTGGAATGCTTTTCTGTCTTGCTGGACTTTAAGCAAACTGGAAAAGATTCTGCAGATTCTGAGATCTCTGTTCTCACCTCCTCTGGGGCAGCAAAGGCAGAGCCTGCCATGGAGAGCTTGTCCATGTTCCCACTTTAAAATCTTGGTAATTAAACCCTTCCTAGCAGCAAGAGGATCAAAAATAAATGAAGTTCCCCTGTCACTGTGCTATGTTTTTTACCTGCAGCAAAACCAAGTCTTTCACGTGCAGCGATTTCTCCACTAAGCACTTCCTTCAGCCTTAACCATTCCTTTCCTAAAATGCAGAGTTGCATATGAATTCCTGCCACATCTAAAAAGACTGATTTGACAAACAAGAGAAATGCAAATAATGGGCTGCTCACTTTGTAGTGTCTGTTCTACACAGAACGTGTCTCATTATTTCCTAACTCCTCCTTAGACACCTAGCTGAGAACTTCTGATTTACCCACACCCTGCCTGAGGCAGCATTTCCAGAGCTGGGGCAGAGCTAGAAATCACCAAGTATTTGTGTGGCCTCAACTTCTACCTCTTTTGGGCAGTTCTGAAAATGAAAACCACGTCTGCTGTACTCGCTATGGGGAAAAAACGGGAAAATAAAAGATGGCCAGGAAACCTGCCCCAGCATCAAGTGTGTAAATCAGAGCCCAGCTCTCCTTTTGGCACTGACATTTGACTTGCCCAGTGTACGATTACAGCAGAGGAACAGCGGAGTGCAGGAGTTATGGCTGATAAAAATAGCCTTGCAACACTCCTCGCTGCCCTTACACATGCGGTCACGTACATTTAATGGCTATTTTAAACTCAGACACTTTTTAAGCATCCAGTGGGCAGGGTCATCCTTTTTTTTTTCCACATTAACAGACATTTAGAGGAACTAGAAAAATAAGATGAATATTTTTAGTACCTCAAAGCTGGTTTTCTTTGCTGTTGCAGCCTCAGCTTGGTGCACTTCAGTCTCCTTACTTCAGCTACCCTGGAAATAATTAATTATTGTTAACAGTCAAGAGCCCAAGACAAAACTTTGTTTCCCCCAAATGATAATATTTCTTTATTACATACGAAAAGGCAGACTTTATTTTACATAAAAGAGTATAAAATTAGGCAGTAATTACAGAAAAAGTGCAAGATGAGTATTATCAGTGAGGGGAGGAAAAGGGAAAGAGGCAAAATAAAATCTTGAATCTCATCCCTTTATCCTTCTCACACCAAAACCACATCAGTGTTTAATTAGGAACCCACCAGACCTACTCACCAAAGTAAGTTTTTCCTCAGTGAAGTGGTGATGGAACTACAGTACATGTACAAAACCAGGGCATATTTAGGGAAACCAGCCTTTATAAAACACTATTATGTTACAGCTGTTCATTGTATCACTGAACAGCACTAATTTTTATTGTGCCTCAGTGTTTTCATGCCAGTAATTTATTCTGTCCAAGGATTTTACACACACTTATTCCACCCTAATCTATCACTGTACGTGTTTCTTCACAGCCTTAGCAGAAATGAGTGATATCAGACATATGTGATTCGTTGGCTTTAACAGATCAAACCCTGCAAAGCACAAATGTATGGCAGCTTTTTGAGAAGGACAAGACTACAAATCGTCTGGAAGCTGCCCAAACCCACTCCTGGTTTGGTGTGAACATTCCCAGCTCTGTGACCAGAATGTTTAACGCACAAGGGAGTACACACAGTTATAAATCCACTCCTCCTGCTCGTTCAGGGGCACCACGTGCTGACACACCTGGACAGGAGAGAGAAAACAGAGGTGAAACAGCTGGGGCTTGGAGAATTGTCACCTCACGTGCTGTGTAAGCAAAAGGAACTGTTTCAGTACCTGCACCACTAAATGATGAACGTTCCTCATCCACATTGACAGCTGATATGCAAACATTACTATAGAATTTAATTACATGACAGCAAAACATTCACAGGACACTGAACCCAGTACTGACTGAAGCCTAAATTACAATTAAAAAACACCTTACAGGACCAGCCTGTGGATATCTAAAGTGTCAGCAGCAGTATCAGAATAGGCCCCAGCCCTGCCTGTGTCACGGGATTGTGCCTTTTACAATGGGTTTGAATACAAACTGGAAAGCTGGGAAATATAAAATAGCTTGGAAGCCTCTTCTTTTAAACAAAGGGACTGTACATTTAGAATAATAAAACCAAGATTTTATTCATCAATAAATGAAGAAAAACATCATCTGCATTTGTAATGCATTTTCACATTCTGTCCCTGGGTTTTCCCTACAGCCTGCCCAGCTCTGCAGCAGGGATCAGCAGCTCAAAATGCCTTGTGGCTGAACACCCCTAAGTCAAGTTCAACAAAAGTAGCCATCTGCAAATCCCACTGGGCAGAAGCACTGCAATGCATTTACTGCTGTTTCTGGTTAGTGCATGCTTGATGTGTCCCTCAAAAGTATCAATGTATCTGATTAAAATTTGCTAAGTGAAAAATAAAAAGAAAACACAGACTTTGACAAGGATTATTAAAAATATTAGTAAGTGCTACACGTATTGGATGGACAACTGATACAGCTCCATGTGTGAAAAACTGAACAGTTATGGCCTTTTATAACAAAACATCAAGAACTACATCTGATCTGCACTGGTCACAAAGATGCCACTCTCCAAATGTTCCTCCTCGTGGTAAAAGACCTACAAAAGGAAACTATAAGGATGTCACATGATTTTCTTATTGCTTAGATTTTAAGTTGGCTGAGCAATAATAATGAAAAAGCCCCTTACCATCATGGATTTTGGTGCCACTTCTACAGCAAAAACTGTAAGTCCCCTGTTATTTAGGCAGTTCTTACTCTGCTCATTGTTGACACGAACAATCACTTTGTTTTCAGACTGCAAGTGAAAAACATGAGGGAACCCATTAGTTTACTGGTTCATTGTCTGTTCTTCCTGTACCAGCTACACATCCCTCTGGCTTCCTCTGACTTTGCTATTTTCCAGGACAGAAATGCTTTAAGATGCTCTTTGAAGAGCCACAGTTTCAAATGTACCTTTGCACCAACAGAGCCCAGATCTACTGCCAGAAGTCACTGCAGACTCCCAGAAATGCCAGAGAGCATCGAGCTGTCTGAGTGCAGACCTCATCTCCTTCTCTGCCACAGCCCCAAACATATAAATAACTCTGCCAGAGCCACCCTAAAGGGCAGAGTGCACATCTAAACCCAGAGTTCCAGGAGCCTAATATTAGTCTTCCAACCCAGCCCCTTCTGCATGAATCTCCCTTTAAACATATACTTCTTGCTGTGATCTTTTCAGATTTAAAGCATCTTAATTCCAGCATCTTCCTGAGCTGTGTTTATTAACTCACAGTACCTGATACAAATGAGACTGAGAAGGAACAGCAGGTTCATTATGTTCTATGCAGAAAGGTTTAAAATCTCTGCTTCTCACCAACCACTTCTGCTGGGATTTACAATTCTTAGCTTGGATTAGTAGTAATCCTGTCAGACTAACCAGTTAATAATTCATCCATAACACGGTCAACGCAAATCACTGCTCTTTGACTTTCTTGTGGGCACTGAAAATGCTAAATAGTGCAAAGGCTGTATTCTTTGAATTTTCTGTAATTTTATTTCCTGTTCTTAGTCTTTGTTTTCTCATATTATGATGATATTGTGTCTCCAATTATTATCAAAATACTGAAAAATTTGAATGTGAACACAAAAATATTCAGATTCTTTATGATATTTAGAACTGGTTGCCCTTCTGACACCGATGTTTAGCAGTCTGAGTCATATGTCAAAAGGAGCACATCAGGTCCTGTTTGTTTTTTTTTAATGAAATAGATACAAAAACTTGATACCAGAAAATGTAATTCTCAAATATGACAAAAGGGGGGGGGGAGGGGAAGAACTGTAATAACAGACATTCACACAGAGTGCCTTGCAGAGGTCTCCTGCCATACCTTATTTTCAATAACAGAAGTGATTCTCCTGCCTGATTTGTAGGTGTGGGCGATGATGTTGTCAGAGCCATCCAGTGCTTTGGGCTGCCCTTTGCTGACCA